TTTTGGAAAAGTTTCTGGAGAATGAGAATTAATTCTTCTTTAAATGTTTGATAGAATTCCCCTGCGAAGCCATCTGGCCCTGCGGTCTTGTTTGTTGGGAGATTTTTGATGACTGCTTCAATCTCCTTACTAATTATGGGTCTGTTCAGGTTTTCTATTTCTTCCTAGTTCAGTTGTGGTAGTTTATATGTCTCTAGGAATGCATCCATTTCTTCCAGATTGTCAAATATGCTGGCCTATAGTTGTTCATAATGGGTTCTTATAATTGTTTGTATTTCTTTGGTGTTGGTTGTGGTCTCTCCTCTTTCATTCATGATTTTATTAATTTGGGTCCTTTCTCTGATGTTTTGATAAGTCTGGCCAGGGGTTTATCAATCTTATTAATTCTTTCAAAGAACCATCTTCTAGTTTCGTTGATTTGTTTTACTGTTCTTTTGGTTTCTATTTCATTAATTTCTGCTCTGATCTTTATTGTTTCTCTTCTCCTGTTGGGTTTAGGTTCTCTTTGCTGTTCTTTCCCCAGCTCCTTTAGGTGTAGGGTTAGGTTGTGTGCTTGAGACCTTTCTTGTTTCTTGAGAAAGGCTTGTATTGCTATATACTTTCCTCTCAGAGCCGCTTTTGCTGTGTCCCAAGTATTTTGAACAGTTATGTTTTCATTTTCATTTGTTCCCATGAATTTTTAAAATGCTTCTTTAATTTCCTGGTTAATTTTTCTGATCCATATTGTTTTGTCTTATGGTATCACTCACCTCCTGAATTCTCCCCTCATGGTCCAGTAATTGTTTATCTCTCTTTTTCTCAGATTCTTTATTCTCCATAATTTGGTCTTCTATATCACTAATTCTCTCTTCTGTCTCATTTATCCTAGCATTAAGAGTCTCCTTTTTTTTTTTATTGCACCTCATTAATAGTTTCTTTTTTTAATTCAACTTGGTTAGATTTTAGTTCTTTTATTTCTCCAGAAAGGGATTCTCTATTATCTGCCATGCTTTTTTTAAGCCCAGCTGGCACCTTGATAATCCTCATTCTGAGCTCTAGTTCTGACATTTTACTAATGTCCATATTGATTAGATCAGTTTTGCCTCTTGTTTTCTTTTGAGGTGAGTTTTTCTGCTTTGTCATCTTATCCAGATAAGAGTAGATGAATGAGAGAACAAAATACCAAAAGGGTAGCAACGACCCCAGAAAGTTGTACACTAACCAAATCAGAAGATACCCAAAACTAGGGGAAGAAGAAAGAAAAAAATAATAGAAAAAATTATATATATATTTTAGACTGATGAATCAAACAGGGCCACACACTTGATTTTGGGTGCATTTTGATTTGTTAGATCTCCCAAATCTCCCAAAAATTTAAAGAAAGAAAACCATATATAGATATATATATATATATATATATGTGTGTGTGTGTGTGTGTGTGTGTATACACACACATATATATTTGCACATATATATATATGTACATATATATACAAATAAAATATACAAAAATAAGGGTAAACATGATGAAGGGATGGAATATGACTTTAAAGATGAAAATTAAAAAAGATTCTAAAAAAGGAATTGCTAAGTAGTTTGTTGAAAAAGAAAAAAAAAAGTGGAAAGAACGTGATCAGACTGGAGACTAGACCAAATCCATGCTAGATTTAGGATATACTTTGATCTGTTAGAAGAAATTGTATCCTAAATTTTAAAGAAAGAAAAATCTATATGTAAACAAAAGGTAAGTTTAAATACAATGAAGGGATAAAATATGACTATAACAATGAAAATTTAAAAAGATTTTTAAAAGGTATTGATAAAATAGTTAAAAAATGTTAAAATAGGATAGAGGGGAAAATAAAAAATAGAATAAGAAAAAAGTAAAATTTAAAAAATTTAACTTTGAAAGATTAAAGAATCATGGGAAAGAAGCCATGAATTCTATGTAGTATATTCCCATGGCTCTGAAGTTTTGCAGTTCTCATTGATCGGTGAACTTGTTCTTGGCTGGATGTTCTTGCTGATTTTCTGGCTGAGGGAACTGTTGCTGTGATTCTCAAATGTCTTTGCCTGAGGCAGAATTGCACCGCCTTTGCCAGGGGCCAGGCTCAGTAATCTGCTTGGGTTCACTCTTGGGAGATTTTGTTCCCTGAACATTTTCCATACATCTTTGCAGGAGGAGAATGAAAATGGTGGCCTCCCAATCTCCAGCCCAGAGGAGCCTATGGCTCAGGGCCCCACTCTCCAGTGTGTCCTCAGAGAAAAGCAGTCAATCACTTCCATATCCCTGGTCTCTGGCAAGCTCCCTGCTCACCCAGCCTGTGATCAAGCATTTCTGTCTCTGGCACATGGCCCCATTTGGTCTCCAAACCCAGCAGATTCCTGTAGCGCACTCCCACGCCATTCCTTCCAGAGGAGGAAGGGCGGGGCGGTCTCTCCAGTCTGCCACTTGTGGGGTTTCTGCTCGAAGAGAAGTGGCCCGACTGTGTCTTGGATCACAGTTTAAGGTAACCCCAAGCTGAGAGCCCAATCCTCAGCTCCATCTCTGCAACTGGCTTCCCTGCTTTGATACCTGAGAGCTCTGCTGCACTCAGGCACCCCTGGTCTTTTTATGACTGTGCGGGTCTTGAGACTACGCTGTCCCCTTGAGGTCTCTACCCACTGCTTAGCCTCTGGAGTGACATCCTTCAGTGCAGCAGAATTCTAAATTTCCAATTTTGTGCTCCACTGCTCTACCACTGCCAGGAGCTGACCCCTCTTCCCATGGTCTATCTTCCAGTATATTGCCTTGGATTCATGTCTCTGTACATCCTACCTTCCAGAAAGTGGTTGCTTTTCTGTTCCTAGAATTGCTGCTCTTCTTCTCTTTGATCTCCTGTTGAGTTTGTAGTTGTTTGAAATGGTTTGATAACTATTTAACTGAACTCCTAGGACATAATGATATTTAGGTCTCCTACTCCACCACCACCTTGCTCCTCCCCCGCCAACATAGATTTTTTTTGATAAATACATTTGCAGGGTTGCACAGCACAGTACTATACAAAAATGATTTTCTTAACAAAGGTTTTTCTCTAGATTGCTCTATTGTAAGAACACGTATATATATATATATATATATATATATATACTGTGTTCTTACAATTAACACATATTTTGCATTTATATATATATATATATATATATATATATAAATGCAAAATATGTGTTAATCCACTACTTATGTTATCAGTAAGGCTTCTGATCAATAGTAGGCTATTGATAGTTAAGCTTTGGGGGCGCCAAAAGTTATACACTGATTTTCAATTGTGCAGGTGTCAGCCCCCCTAAGCCCTTCATGTTGTTCAAGAGTCAACTGTATCTGTACATTTCCAGACTGGTGATTTTGTGTGTCATTTCTTCTGTGCATAAAGATAGTTTTACTCCTTCTTTTCTAATTAGATGCCTTTTGTCTTATCTGATTGACTGACTAGATCTAGTACAATGCTTGGTGATGAAAGTGGACATCTCAGCCCTTTTTTTTTTTTTTTTCTGATCTTAGAGAGGGAAAAAATCAAGTCTTTCACCATTACAGTGTTAGCTGCACATTTTGGGTTTTTTTTAAGCTTCTGTTTATCAAGTTGAGAAACTTCCCTTCTATTTTTGATTTGATGAGAGTTTTATCAGGATTGGATATTAGATTTTGTCAAATGCTTCTTTTTATCTACTGAAGTAAACACATGGTTTTTTTTAGTTTGCTAATATAGTAGAACACAGTTTGATTTTAAGTGTTAGCTCAAACCTGCATCCATAGGGAAAATCCCAGTTGGCTAGGGTATATTATCCTTTTACTATATTGCTGGGTTGTTAAATTTTTATTTGGGATATTTTCATTCATGCTCATGACAGCTATAGATTTGTACTTTTTTTTTCCCTCTTGCACTGTCTTTGGTTTTAGGAGTAGGATAATACTGGTGTCAAAGAATAAATTGAGGAGCATTCCCTCCTATATAATTTTCTAGATGAGATTGTGTAAACTTAGTATTAGTTCTTTAAATGTTTGGTGTAATGCTTCACTGAAATCATCTGGACCTGGAAATTTCCCTTTGGGAAGCTTTAAAATTGTGAATTCAATCTCTTTAATGAGTGTAGGATGATACATATACTCTCATCTTGGAGGCATCAGTAGTTAATACTTGCTCTCCATCTGTCTGGCCAGACATATTTCTTAACTACTTTCAACACCTCCTTCATCTATTTTAGATTTGTGTGTGTGTGTGTGTGTGTGTGTGTGTGTGTGTTTTCTCACCTATAAAATGGGCCCTGTTGAAATCAGTCTTAAATGAGAATGTTTGCAAAAATTTATAAATGAGGGGCGCCTGGGTGGCTCAGTGGGTTAAGCCGCTGCCTTCGGCTCAGGTCATGATCTCAGGGTCCTGAGATCGAGTCCCGCATCGGGCTCTCTGCTCAGCAGGGAGCCTGCTTCCCTCTCTCTCTCTCTCTCTCTTTCTGCCTGCCTCTCTGTCTACTTGTGATCTCTCTCTGTCAAATAAATAAATAAAATCTTTAAAAAAAATTTATAAATGATAAATCTCTCTGAAATATCATTATTTTTTTTCCTTAGGCTATATTTATATATGCTGTTGGATATATATGCACTCTTTTAATATATCAACCACATCTATAAGGAGGAGATTAAAATATCAAAAAATAAGAACAGAGTTGATTCCTATTTTTGTTAAAATTTAATTTTATAGGAAAATATTTTGGAAATTTTGCACTAAATTATTTATCTGGGCTGAATCTAGCTGGGGTGAATTATAAATACTAGAAAATATTACACAAGAATCACTCATGTGGTTGCTTACATAATTTTTTTATTCTAAAAGATGATTACTCTTGTTTAAAGAGGAGGCCATGAGACAAAGGTAGGTGTCAATCTTTGAATTTATTCTTTATTCAAGTAAAAAGTTATTTCACAGGAATAACAATGATGTTTCAGTCTCTCTCTCTCTCTCTTTTCTTTTTTTTTTTTTTTTTTGGCATGTTGTTTCAGGAAACATGTACTTCTCCATTTTAATCCAGTGTTCTAGTGACCTAAGGTCTATGGTTATACAATTTACAAAATTGTCAACTTAATTCGTTAAGTTTAAAGTACCAAATTTCTATCAAAGTCCAAAGTTGTCCTCATAGACTATGCTGCTTGTGTAAATATCTGCATAAAAAGAGATTTCTATAGAGAGGAAAAAAGATGAATTACTGAGTGGAACCATATTTGTAACTAACATGCCTACAATTTCCCCTGTGGTATGTTTCAATAAAATGTTGCAGCTCTCTTCACTTAGTCCTGTGCAATGCACACTGGGCATCTCAGTAAATTTTGTTTTCACATAGGCAAGTTGCCTTGCACTTTTCCTTAAGCAATTCGTGTCCACAACCAGCTGTTTTCTTCAAGGAATCACAGTTACTAAGGAGATCTTCAAACTCGCAACTGTTGGCTGTGACAAAAATAAATGAGTTCATTATCATTTTCTTCAATAGCAGCAAAATAATGCTGTACATTCAAAAGTGCATGAGGCCATAAAGATTCGACAAATCAAGTCAATATCACTTACACAATGATGGGCTTTCCATTTCTTGTGAGAAATATCTTGTGAGCCTGAGTTGAGCTCACTGATTAAACTATCACTTTTTATTTTGAACTTGGTGATATGTTTCCAAAATAAATTGACCTATTTTTCTTCTTTAGCCAATAAAGTTAAATAAATATAAATAAATCTCTCTACACCTTCAGTGTCTAATATGGGAACCACTAGTCTCATATAGATATTTACATTTAAATTACTCTATAATAGATAAAGTAAAAAATTTAGTTCCTTAATCTTACTAGCCACATTTCAATATTCAAAGGCCACATGTGACTAGTTTACTTGTAAGACACATTCTGATACAGGACTTTTTCTTTATTTCATACTATTGAACAGCACTGGTTTAGACTCCAATGTTTGCTTCCTGGAGAAAGGAATTTCTATGGGAAGATAAAGATGCAAAACAATGATAACATGTCCCCTTTCCTTCTGGTATTTCTTTCTGGATCCTCCCCAGAGGCCATGAACTCAACAAATCTCAAACTAAACTCATCATACTACCTGTATGGCTGACAATTCTTGGGTATGTTCTTCCTGTAAACCCCTTCACCCTCGTCTCCCCACATCCCCGCTAACAATGTCAGAGAAATGGCTCTCTAACTACTCAGTAATTTAGACCAAAAACTGGATCAGTTTGACATCCTTCTTCCCTACTTCTGATCAGCACTCAATCAGCACAGGTAACAAACATTGGCTATTCTATTCCTTATATTCCAACCCCATCCAATTCTCATTATTTTGTCAATAATGTGGGAGAGAGATTTTTTTTTTTAACCCATAGTCAGTTTTCTAGCTGACTTCCATCCAATTGTTTTTCAATACTATTGCTAGAAAGCTCTTTATAAAACGTGGTTACAACCCTGTTACTCTTGTTTAAAATATTTCAACTGAGTGCTTATTGATAATAGGATAAATTATAAGCTTCTTCCCAAATAGCATTCAGCAGAGCTATTAATATGTAACTTTTTTTCCTTCTTTAGCTGATTTATATTCTAAATAATATTCTGAATAATAGCTATATAATTCAGTCAGTAAGAATGCTAACTAAAGATGAATGCATTTGAAAGTTAAAAATCTCAGTGAATGAGCTTCATTCAATTCTATTATTCACAATAATTTTAATACAAGTATCCCAACTATAAAGAGCTAAGAGCTATTTTTACTTCTATTCATTACAACTTTAGAAATTATGTATGCGAAATTTATTTTCTCCCTTTTTGCAACAGTATTTTTGTGGGCTCTGTATATATGTAACACTATATACAGATTTGATTTTGTCATTAAAAATGTGCAGTAATGACAATGTTGTTGACTGAGGAAAAGAAAAATGCAGTAGACTAGTATCAAATTATAGAGAAAGTGATTATTAATTTAAACACTATGATTCCAATTTTACTATAGAAAAAAAGAGGTAGTTAGCATAATGAACTCATTAGCACAAAAGTAGTATAATATTTGATTTTTCTGTCTAGATTCAGATATAATGTGATCTTATATGCATAGATTTGCATTTCAGAATAGGACTTTTGACACAATCATACTAACTTTATCTGAAATATTTGCCAGAAATATATATAATTAATATTAATAGCTATGTTAGTAACAAAAATATGTGAATGGCAGATCTTTCATTATCTTACATATGGCAATATTCTTTTCATTACAAGTAATATGTAGGTTACTAAAGTGTGTAAAATGTTTACATAAACACATGCTGTGTTGAGTAACATATTTGTCTTCTGCATAACGATATTATTTAAACTGATTAGGAGATTTCTCAACCCACAAAAAGAAAATAAAATATCAACTTTTTATTATAATAGCAAGGTGATCACTTCAAACTTACTGCATAGTCCATTGTCACAGTTACCAGGGCAACTGGCACAAGGTGTCCCTTGTTGGTAAGGGGTATTCTTTTTACTCACGTTATTGCCACTGAAATTTAAAATACCTAATGTCAAATACTTTTCACTTTATAATTTAGTTTATACTCCCCAAGGGCAGTATAAATTACCAAACATACATGACTACAAATGTTTTCAGTTATGTTAAAAAACTTAAAAATTATAATGCCCAGTGAGTAATTCAGGTAACATTCAAATTAAGAAAATGCTTCACATATTGACCAATTTCCTTGACTATAATTCTTCAGATTGAGCAACTAAATTAGAGTAATTAGAGTCTAAAGTTTTCAAAGTATATTTCAATGTGGTCACACTTTCTTCATGTCCCAGCAGACTTGGTCAAACTGGCAAGGCAGTATAGCCCAATGTGTTAGCTAGAGGTAGAATATATCCCCTAGGGAGACAAAAGAGCTCCTGGGAGGCAGGTAGTTGCAGTTTGGAAAAGAATATTTAATGTTACAATATCATTTTATATTTGAAAGATAATAAAATACCAAATTTCTTAGATATAATCTAGAAACAGTAAACTCCAGTATATATATACACATATATAGGTACTTCACCTTTTAGATGAGGGCAGGGATATTTAAGTTAAGTTAGTGGTGTGTGTTTCTGGGACAGGCAGAGAGAAGGAAATTAGTGAGTTTCTAGAGGTATGTGAGACATTTTTAAACTTACCAAACACAGGGAATGTTCACTCAAAAATTTTGACAAGCATGGATATCCAGAGTGTAACACATTACAGTGACTAACTTACAACTTGCTTATGATCATTACCTATTAGCCATTTAATTTATTTGAATTACAAGTGAGTCCAAATCTCAATAGTGTCAAGTGGGCCAAGAATACAAGGTCATGCAGCTGAATCTCTCCCTGCACAGAACATAACGACCATGTCTGAGCCCCTAGAAAAATGTGAAATAAGACACAAACATGTTCTGGAAGTTCTCTCACCCCTGCTTTTCCTCATTATTCACTCCAACTCTCACTTCAGATGACTGGCTCCAGAACCTCTCTCTTAAAACCAGCCAGTGTGTTTGGGTGCATTCTCCTAGGACCTCTCAATTCTTTCTACTAAACCTTAGTAAGTGCTTGCAGGAAAACGATGTTGGAGGTCATACCTCTCACTCTGGAGAATCACATGCTTGATTATCTACAGTCTCAAAAGAAATCCTGTAGGAGCGTTGGTTCTAGGGATCTCCCTGTCTCCAGTGGCACGAAAGTTCAAGCATTAAAATAATTTAAGATTAACAGGTAAATTGAGATTAGATCTTCAGTATATCCACAGAATTTATTACGGGTAAATTCAGACATAATCCTTGATGGAAAGAACATATTTCCTGCTGTAGGTCAAGACCTTAAAAAATGGTTCATTGTGGAGATTTTGTGAAAACTTCTGAAAAACAAAGACTGAAGATTTTTTTTTATTCTGGACTCTGAAGTATATTAACGATCTCTTGCAAAACCTTTGAGATGCAAAAAAATGAATAATCTGTGAGGAAATAATGTGGGTGATTTTTTAGATAAACGGGATAAGGGATATTTTAGCAGGAGAAATGGAAATCACAATCTTCCATCCGCTACTTGCCACTCCACGACCATCCCTTGCTTAACCATCAAGCTGCAACCTCCTAAAGTGTGAAGTTAGTGAGAACTAATGATATCAAGTCTAGAGTAGTGAGCCCAAGGGAAAGGCGACTGAGAAAAAAGATGCTACTTTGTAACTAAGGAGTTTCAGATTTTATACTTGGAGTTGAGAACCTGGTCTCTTCCCTGAGAAGTTGAATGTATCTCAACTTAAAAGGCATTTCCATGATCCCAGAGTCCTGGGATTGGGCCCTGCATCGGGCTCTCTGCTCGACAGGAAGCCTGCTACCCTTCCTCTCTCTCTGCCTGCCTCTCTGCCTACTTGTGATCTCTATCAAATAAATAAATAAAATCTTTTTTTTTTTAAAAAAAGGCATTTCCCACAGATGTATTCCTTCTGGATGGACCTAAAAGGATATTATGTTAAGTGAAGCAAGTTAGAGAAACACAGACACCATACAATTTCACTTATATGGGGATGCTAAAAACACAAACGAACAAAAGCAGAAACAGACCATAAGTACAAGAACAAACTGATGTTTGACAGAGGGGCAGAGATTGGCAGCAATGAGGGGATGGACAAAAGAGTTGAAAGGGAGGGGGTGATACGGGCTTCCAGTTATGGAAAAAGTAAGTCATGGAGATAAAAGTACAGCATAGGGATAATAGTCAATAGTACTGAAATAGTTATAACAACATGGGACACCTGGGTGGCTCAGTTGGTTAAGCATCTGCATTTGGCTCAGGTCATTATCCCAGGGTCAGTGGGGAGACTGCTTCTCCCTCTGTCTGCCGCTCCCCCTGCCTGTGCTCTCTCTCTGACAAATAAATAAAAATATTTTTAAAAATTAAAAAATAGCTATAATAGCATCATATGGTGACTGCTGATAGCTACTCTTGCGGTGAGCATAGTGTAAAGTGTAGACCTGTCACTATGTTATACACCTAAAACTAATGTGACATTGTATATGAACTATGCATCAATTTTTAAAAATGAAAAAAGGAATTATTCTTTCCCTTTACTGAAATATGTTTTATGTTCTAATTTGTTTACTATAAAAGAATTTTAAAATACTAAATTGCACATAGGATTATTGCATGAAACTCTAAAGTGTATACTTACGCCGGACAATATTGGCAAACATAGTAGTATTTTAGATTCTCTTGATTGGGACAATAGGCAATTCCACATCCAACATGGTAAGTAGAGTACCAAACGAGCTACAATTCCAAAAGGGAATATATGAGAGTACATTCAAGATGAGGGAAAATATTAAAAAAATAGTAGCAACTATAAAACTGAAAAAATGATACTATTATAGCTTGTAGCCAAGTACCTTTTGAAAATATTTACAATTATTGAAGAAAATCACAAATTTTAAAATATTAAATCTTAACATGCCTTCACTATTTTATCCATTTCTAATTTTGAGAAAGTATGGAGTATGCTTCTTTACCAAGAGTTTTGCAAGTGATGGAAAAAAAAGACAACTCTAGATGAAGTACCAGCCAACATCAGGACTATCATATCTATTCATGCTCTTACCCAAATTGAACATTGGACTTGGTCATAATTTAGAGATGCTTTCATATTAGAGCATTTGTGGTCAAAGTATTTTCATTTGTTTGTCTTACCTGGGTGTAATGTCCAACAACTGCATTGGAACTCTTAGGTCCTACACCATAGACAAAATTATGGCGCTCATCATACCAGCTTTGGATTGCATCTGACCACGGAGCAGGGTTACTTGACATATAGAGATTCTCACCACATTTTGTACCTAAAGATAAATGGATCATTCTTGAGGAAGCAATAGAGTATTCAATGGCAAAAAAAAAAATCAACTTTATAAACACAAGAATGGGGGTGCCTGGGTGGCTCAGTGGGTTAAAGCCTCTGCCTTCGGCTCAGGTCATGATCCCAGCATCCTGGGATCGAACCCCGCATCGGCCTCGCTGCTCCGCGGAGAACCTGCTTCCTCCTCTCTCTCTGCCTGCCTACTTGTGATCTCTGTCAAATAAATAAAATAAAATCTTTTAAAAAAATTTAAAAAAAACACAAGGATGTTGCCCTTCAAACACAGTGCCTATACTTGTAATACTTAATAAAAGGGCTTCCATTCTTCTCAGCTCTAAAGCTGAATAGAAGACAGATCTATCTATGGACACCTGGGTAGCCTAGTAGGTTAAGAAGCTGACTCTTGATGGGCTTAGGCCATGATCTCAGGGTCTTGAGATCTAGTCTTGCATCAGACTCTCCACTCAGCAGGGAGTCTTCTTGAGGATTCTCTCCCTCCACCTTCACCATTCTATCTAAAATAAATAAATAAATCTTTAAAAAAATCTGTTTAGGACACTGAGGCTGACATCAACATGCAAAACTTTGCACAGGTTAAGAAGCCCTTATGCTTCAAAAATATTCTGGAGTTTCAGAAATGCATTCTTTTTCAGGCTAAATTCTTCACATTGTATGGACTCCTATGCTCTCAGCTTTGTATCATAAATTCATGAAAGGCAGTGAACAACTTTTATTCCTTTTCTCCTCCTCTCATCCATCTTCACCAGAGATTTTTCACATATTGGACCCTGTTCTAAATGTTTATAATTATGATTTTGTGTGAAATTGGTAAAAAGAGTTCTACAGGCAGTCTATAAGAGCCTCAATTTATAGGCATCTGACATCAGGAGGAATGGCAGATTTCAAAGCTTTTGGAGTCTTTCTTAATCACTAAATCAGAATGTCATAAGGCCAATCTTCCTCAGAGAATTAGCCAAGAAGAGCCTTGCAGAAGGTGACATCAGAAAGATGGGGAAATAGGGAGCCCCAGACTCTCATTTCCCTAACAAATACACAGATTCAGCAACAATTTCCAAACAAATTGCCCTTTGTGGGAAAACTAACTGAAGGACTCCTAGATCATGGGAGAATATGAATGCAGACTCACTGAAGTCTGTAGGGAAACTGGGACACCTTTTTGCTAGAATGCCTACCCTCAGCACAGTGCTTCCCCTATGATCAGGAAGAGGTCTCCTAGCTCCCAGCTTCTCCTAGGGGAAGGAAGGTGTTGGTTCTTGTGTCCAGCATCCCAACCTTCCCTAAGGAAATTCCCCAGAGATGGCTGGCTTCTTTCTTGGTAGTCTTGGGAGTTCTGACAATCAGGCACAGGCTAGTCATCTGGAGGAGAATGGAGATGCTGGCTTTAGCTGGTAGTTACCATATCTCCTCCCCTTGGCTTAGTTTTTAGTTCTCAGCTTCCTCCTGGGGAAGCAAAGAATTGATTGGTGTATCCATTGCTCCAATTTCTCTAGGGCTGCCTAAAGAACTGACATCAGCCTTGCTTGTCTTAAAGCTCTGAGGGGTTTGGCATAGTTTCAGTGTTACTCCCTGGGGGAGAACAGAGATGGTGGTTTGGATTGGTAGATGCCATTTCTCAGCTCCCCAGCATAGCACACAGTGAGCAAGTGCCATATCTACCTGTTTCTCCCTGGAGTGGGAAAAAGTTTGCCTGGGCATCCAGTGCCACAAATATTCCAGATGTTGCCCAGAAAATTGACTTCTGACTTGCCTCTCTGAAAATGTTAACAGATCTAGCATAACAAAGATGAGCATAGAGATTTAGGTTCATAAATGCCAAAGCTTCCCTTCCTTGTTCAGCACAGAATAAGTAGATTAAAAAATCCAAACTTCTAGCCTCTTCATGAGTAGAGAAAGAGTTGGATGGAATGCCTAAAGATCCATCTCTTTCAGGAGGCTGCCTGAGAAATTGACTACAGATCTTTTCTGACCACAGTTTGATTGGACATTCTCCAAAGATGCACAAATGGCCAACTGGTATGTGAAAAGGTGCTCAGTGCTGCTAAACATAGGGAAATGCAGATGAAAACCACAATGAGATGTCACCTTACACCTGTCAAGAAGTCTCTTCTGGGGGAAAACAAAACTGACAACAAGTGATGATAAAGATGTGAAAAAAATTGGAATCCTGTATAATTTTGTTGGGCATAAAAAATGGGGTAGCTGCTGTGGAAAAAAACAGAGGTTCCTCAAAAAATTAAAGTTAGAACTACCAATGATCCAGTAATACTACTTCTGGGTATTTATCCAAAAAAATTGAAATCAGGGTTTTGAAGCAATATTAGCATTCTTCATATTCATTGCAGCATTCTTCACAATAGCCTATATATGGAAACATAAAATCTGCAGACAGATGAGTGGATGGACAAAATGACACCCATATATATACAACAGCTTTCGTTCATCCTTTAAAAAGAAGGAAATTCTGCAACACTTGGGTGAGACACTATGGATGAATCTTGAAAACATGATATTAAGTGAAAAAATCCAGCCACAGAAAGACAACTATTACATGATTCCCTTTATATGAAGTACATAAAATAACCAAATTCATAGAACCAAAGAGTAGAACAGTAATAGATAAGGATGGGAGGAAGGAGAAATGGAAAATTACCAATCAATGGGCATAAAGTTTCATTCATAAAGATGAATAAGTTCTAGATTAATAACTTCTGTTGCAGGACATTGTACCTAATGTCAGTAATATCATACAGTACACTTATTTGTTAAAAGTGTAAGTCTCATGAAGTGTTCTTACCACAATAAAGAAAGTAACTTGTTGCCCAGAAACTTTTCTTGATCTTTTCAACCTCTCAATTATGAATTACATTTTGGTAGCTTAAAATATAATGTCTATTTGTTGCTTAAATATATAAATATAAAAATATAAAAATATAAAAAAATATAAAATATTCTTGTCTATGTCTTTTAATATAGAAAAAAGAAACTAAGAATCTAATAGTAGACTTGCATCTCTAAGACCATTTGTTTTAATCTTCTACTAAACGCAGTCATTCTTTTCATAATTTCATTAACAGAGCAGCATCAACCATATAAGTAAATAATGTGATTAAATTACAGGTAAAAATTTGTTGCTTTCAAATTGAGCTTGCCTATATGTATATTATGATTGAAAATATAAATAAATATTTTATTGTAAGGTTTATGCATAAAACATTTTTTCTTTCATGGTGTTTATAATACTTGACAAGAATTCAAAAATTAAAAATGAATCAACATACCAAAATATTTAAAATTTAAGTATTTTTAGAGCAGTATTCACAAAATTCAGGAACAAATCACCTTAATTTAGTATATTTTATGAATTCAAAAGAAGAGATATGAAAACATCAGATAGCTACACAGGATCACAAAAAAGAGCAGTGGATTAGAAATAATTAAGGCTGGTTAACTTTCCAATATATGACACACTTCAGATTGTGACTTGGGGAAGTCATTCTTCCCCTGTCCTCATCTTCTCATCTTTAAATTTGGAGAAATGATGATGCATGACTTATTGACTCATGAGCTGGTTGAGACAAAAAAGTGGAGTATTGCTTCAAATATCATTTGCATAATGTAAACAATCAACAAGCGCAAAATGGTACCTATAATTCTCTCTCCTTCTACAGATACTTTGATTTTAAAAAAGGAGAATATAGGGACACTTGGGTGGCTCAGTTGGTTAAGCATCCAACTCTTGATTTCCACTCAGGTCATGATCTCAGGGTCATGAAATCAAGCCCCATGTAAGCCTCCACACTTGGCATGGAGCCTGCTTGGGATTCTCTCTTCCTCTTCCTCTGCCCCTCCCCCCCACTCACATTTTCTCTCTCTCTCTCTCTCAAAAACAAAAATAAAAATATATAAATAGAGCAGTATAAGCAACGTTTATTCTCTAAGTCTTCTTATAACATACCGGAATGTTCCATTCTATCTGATTTTTTCAATATTATTTTATTAGTTCATCTATTCAAAAAATATTTACTCATTTACGTACTGGTTTTTCGGTCCTCTGGCACACTGTGTTCCAAAGTGCACTTATTTGCCCACTTTTGTGCATTTGCTGCTGCTTCTCTGTTCCATTCCTAAATGTCACAAGAAAAAAAAATACACTTAAAAATTCAACTCCTATGAAGCATATGGTTTATAATCTGATTGGTAGGTTGATTTTCACCACTTTAAACTTCTATAGATAATTATCTGATCATCAGTGGTATGCAAAGACCTTTTTGGTAGGGGGGTATATAGGCGTGTGTGCATTTATTTGCTCCAGTGCCGATTTCCACATGAAGATAAGTTCATAAATGATGAATAGATAGAGATAGAGAAATATCTAACATAATATCTGACAATTTATGATAGTACTGGAACCACATGCAGGATTTTTAGTAATGGGGCTACTCTAAATACTCAACATGTGAAGTCTTTGAATTATATTCCCTTAGTAATAAGCAGGCCTAGATTATTCCCAATTCCAATTGTAGCCCATTGGTTTCAAATGGGAGATAGTCTAGCATTTATGAACCATGCTGTGGAAAGTGGGCTCTTATTTACCCACAGGATTCTTCGGATCCTGAGTCTGAGCCTCACATTGGGCATAGAGATTAATTAAAAAGAATAAAATACATGAAAGAAAGGGACCTCCTTTAGACTAGGGCAGATAGTGACAAAAAGTGCAATGGCCTCACATTTGATGTCTGAAGATCTGGCTCTAATGTTGCCTTCCTGACTGAATATCCCTATAAATTTGACAGATTATTTAACCATTAAAAAGGAAAAATTTTCTGCCATGCCCATAACACAGCTCAGATGAAATAGCAGAATAGAAGAAAAACTTTGTAAGCACAAAGTTCTTAAGAAATCCCTGCTCTGGGGCGCACGAGTGGCTCAGTGGGTTAAAGCCTCTGCCTTCGGCTCAGGTCATGATCCCAGAGTCCTGGGATGGAGTCCCGCATCAGGCTCTCTGCTTGGTGAGAGAGGCCTCTCTCTCTGCCTGTCTCTCTGCCTACTTGTGATCTGTCTGTCAAATAAATAAATTAAAAAATCTTAAAAAAAAAAAAAAAAGAAAGAAATCCCTGCTCTTATCACTGCTAGCTCACACCATTAGCCCTTATCATTGCCTCTTACCATCTTTAGCATGTTGCTGGCAGGTGGAGAGACTGATTTCCTTAGTTCATTGTGTTTATTTACAATATCTTTTTGGATTTGCGTTTGAGTGGTTAGCAAAGCAGTAAAGGATGGGTCCTAAAAGGAAATAAAAATCAAGGTTATCTTCTTAACATTTGTTAAAGTTGCATTTAAGAATGAATAAGCAAATTCAAGGGAACAAAGATCATTTTAAGAGCATTCAGTTCAAGTCAATATTAGTTGTTAAGCATTGCCAATGAACCTGAGCCAAAGCTATGACAAATAGAAAAGAAGTCATTTGAAGCTTTGAGAAGGAGGGTGAAATTCATGGCATAACAAATTAAAATCTCCTCTGAGGCCACAGATGACAATTTCTAGTTTCATGGTAATTATTAATGTACTTTTTCTCCTTTCATGGCCATGTTATCTCTCTGGTCCATCTCCTGGTTTTCACTTATCAAATTATTTGAAGAGAGATATATTTTCTCTTTTGCACTGCTATGTGTTTGTTAATCAGATTCTCTACTTTCTACCTTATATGGTTTCCTGGACCTTCTTTGTGATTCTTCTAGACATATGAGTGATAATATTTTATAACCACAAAGGCACACAACAGGAACTTTAAGACATATTCATTCATATTTGATCAGGTTGCACCAGGTGGGATGAGAGTGGGGCTCAAGATTCACCCTAGACTTTAAGGGAACTTTGACCTGATATGGTCGGTATTTAAAGAAATAATGTATTCAGAATGTATTTATAGAAAGAATGTTCAGGAGTTCAAATTTCATTCAATACCCTAGTAAACTTATTCCTATTACAGTAGATATTATTATCTATTTTATTACAATCTGTATTTCTGAATACCAAATAAGTTTTCACCCAGTGGCAGAATTCTCTGGTCTGATGAGTTCTAGTCCTACTAGTCTCTGGTCCTGGGATATCTTCCTATATGCCCAGAGTTAAAGATAGGGAAACAGCAATGACCAGAGCTCCTTACATTCAAGAGATTTTCTGATCAAGAGATAGACATTGTATATAGGCACCTACCCTCCAGTCATTGAAAAGGATGACTGATCTTGGTCTTGGGATTATTTAAGCAATGTAGTTTATTCAAATTAAAAGGTTTGAATTCAAGAGGTAGGCTTCACATATCAAGCATTTTTGAGCATGAATAAGAAAGCAAAACAAACCTAAGACTTTTAGAGGTAGATTTTTTTAATGTAAAAAATAAGTATAACTTTATCATGCAGTAAGGATGAAAATTAAATGTGGTGATATATGAAGTAGTGCTAATTTAAAGTTATGTCATTGTTAGTTCTCTTTAAGATCACACTGAAGCACATTAAATAAAAGAAATGGGAAACGATCTTGTGGAGAGAGGACTATCATTAGCTTCTTAAATCATAGCCCATTGCATTCATTAGAAAAATAATTCAAGCATACCATGTAATTTTAACTTTTTGGTGGTCAAATTAAAAAAGTAAAAAAAATCAAGTGATATTAATTTATTTTATAATTTTTTAAAATGTTATTTCATCATGATAAGTGCACTCTTAATCCCCATCACCTATTTCCCCCATCCCCTCACCCACATCCCCTCTGGTAACCATCTATTTGTTCTGTATAGTTAATAGTCTATTTCTTGGTTTTTCTCTCTCTCTCTTTTTTCTCTTCTCATTTGTTTTGCTTCTTAAATTCCACATATAAGTGAGATCATATACTATTTGTCTTTCTCTGACTTATTTTGCTTAGCATTGTACTCTAGCTGTATCTGTATTGTTGCAAATGGCAAGATTTCATTCTTTTTATGGCTGAATAATATTTCATTATATAGATGTACACAATATACACATTATATATACATATATACACACACACATTATTCTATCTATCATCTATCTATCTACCTATTTACCATCCACGTATATCACATCTTAATCCATTCATCTATCAGTGGACACATGAGCTACTTCCATAGTTTGGCTATTGTAAATAATGCTGCAAGAAACATAGGGGAGCATATATCTTTTCTAACTATTGTTTTGATATACGTTGTGTAAATACCCAGTAATGAAATTACTGAATCGTATGGAAATTCTATTTTTAATTTTTTGGGGAAACCTCCATATAATTTTCCACAGTGGCTGCACCAGTTTGCATTACCAACAATGGTGCACAATGGTTTCTTTTTCTCTACATCTTCGCCAGTAAGTTGTTTTTTGTGCTATTGATTTTAGACATTTTGACAGGTGTGAGGTGACATCTCATGGTTTTGATTTGTATTTCCGTGATGATGAGTGCCGCTGAGCATCTTTTCACGGTCCGTTGGCCATCCGTAGGCCTTCTTTGGAAAAAGTCTGTTCATGTCTTCTATCCATTTTTAATTGAATTATTTTTGTGTTTGTGTTGAGTTGAATCAGTTCTTTAAATATTTTGGATATTTACCCTGTATCAAATATGTCATACGCAAATATCTTTGCCCATCCGGGACATTGTTTTTTAGTGTTTTTTTTTTTTTTCTTTTTCTTGCTGTGCAGAAACTTTTTATTCTGTTGTAGTCCCAATAGTTTATTTTTGCTTTTGTGCCCTTTGCCTCAAGAGACAGATCTAGAAAAATGTTCCTAGAGCCGATGTCAGAGACATTACCTGCTGTGCTCTCTCCTAGGATTTTTTATGGTTTCAGGTCTCACATTTGGGTCTTTAACCCTTTTGGAGTCCACTTTTGTGAATGTACAAGAAAGTGGTCCAGTTTCATTCTCTTGAATGTGACTGCAATGGATTATTTTCCTAACACCATTTGTTGAAGAGACTGCCTTTTTCCCATTGTATATTCATTCCTCCTTTGTTGAGGATTAATTGACCATATAATTGTGGATTTATTTCTGGATTTTCTGTTCAGTTCTACTGATCTGTGTGTCTGTTTTTCTGCCAGTACCATACTGCTTCCATTACTATAATTTTGTAATATAACTTGTAATGTAATGAATTGTGATACCTCCAGCTTTGCCTTTTTTTCCCCTTTGTTTTCAAGACTGCTTTGTGTATTTGAGGTCTTTCGTGGTTGCATGCAAATTTTAGGATTCTTTGCTCTAGTTCTGTGACAAATGCTATTGGTATTTTGATAGGGATTGCACGCAATCTGTAGATTGCTTTGGGTAGTATAGACCTTTGGTTCTTCCAACCCATGAGCACGGAATGTCTTTCCAATTCTTGGCATCATCATGAATTTCTTTCACCAGTGTTTCATGGTTTTCAGAGTACTGGCCCTTTCACCTCTCTGGTTAAGTTTATTCCTAGATATTTTCCTGTTTTGGGTGCAATTATAAATGGAATTCTTTTCTTATTTTGACTTTGTGCTGCTTCATTATTAGTATATAGGAATGCAACAGATTTCTGTGCATTGATTTTGTATCCTATGAGTTTACTGAATTCATGTGTCAGTGCTAATAGTTCTTTGGAGGAGTCTTTAGGGTTTTCTATATAGAGAATCATGTCATGTGCAAATAGTGAGGGTTTTACTTCTTTCTTACCAATTTGGATGGTTTTTATTTCTTTATGTTTTCTAAATGCCATGGCTAGGACTTCTAGGACTCTGTTGAGTAAATGTAGTAAGGATGGACATCCTTGTCTTGTCCCTAATCTAAGGGGGAAAGCTCTCAGTTTTTCACCATTGAATATGATGTTGGTTGTGAGTTTTTCACATAAGGCCCTTATTATGTTGTGGTATGTTTTCTCTAGACCTACTTTGCCGAGGCTTTTTACGATGAATGGATGTTGCACTTTGTCAAATGCTTTTTCTGTATATATTGACAGGATTGTATGTTTTTTATCCTTTCTCTTATTCATGTGACATATTGCATTGATTATTTTGTAAATATTGAACTACTGTTGTATTCTGGGAGTAAATCCTACTTGATCATAATGTATGATTTTTTAAAAATATTGACATTATTTTAAGCAATAAATTTTACTTTTAATGGGTTGACTAATAGTCTACAAAAATAATATGTCTACATCCTAATCCCCAGAATCTGTCAATGTGACCTTCTCTGTATATAGTTAAGAATCTCAAGATTCAATCATCCTGGATTATCTGAGTAGGACCAAAATCCATCGACAAGTATCCATATAAAAGACACAGAGAGGAGAAGGTGATGTGAAAAGGGAAGCAGAGAATATGTGATGTAGCTACAAGCCTAGTTATCACAATGACTTGTCAAAGCCAGCATAAGCTAAAAGAAAGAAATGGAACACATTCCTTCCTAGATCCTCCAGAGGGAGTGTGGCCTTGCTAACACATAGATTTTACGCTTCTGGCCACCAGAACTGTGAGAAAATAAATTTCTGTTGTTCTAAGTCACCCAACTTGCATTCATTTCTTACAACAACCTTGAGAACCTAATACATTATTGAATTATTTATCCAAAATATAATTTCATCATGTACTGAATATCTAAGTTATTAATGACATATTTTCTTCTTCTTCTCCTTCTTCTTCCTGTTCCTCCTCCTCCACCTCCTCCTCCTCCTTCTTCTTTTTCTTCACTAAATCTTTGAAATCTAGCATGTGTACTTACAGTATATTTTGTTCTGGATAAGCCGCATTGTAAGTGTTCAATAGCCACATGTGACCAGTGGGTACTGGAGAGCTCAGCATAGACTGTCATCAAGACATTGTATTAAGTGATCTGAGCCACCAGTGAGTACTTTGTGATATACCAGACACTTTTCCCTTTCTCCTCTCAAAGGACCCAACCATCCCACAAAGTTGTGTGGATAGATTTAGAAAGATTTTCTTATTTACATTTACCTTTCCTTCTGTGGGTACAGATGGAAGCAGCAAAATGGCCAGAAACAACACTACTGGGAATAAAGCCATTTCTGGGAAGTAAGTCAAAGAGAAGAAAATTCTGCATTAAAACATGTAGCACATGGACCTCTAACTATGAGGAAAAGCCAATATAGTGATCTTGGTTAGTTCAAAGGAACTGTAATTCCCAAATTCACACACACACACACAAAAAAATGTAACAAGAGAAGATTGTTATTTGGTTGCAGTAGAATCATAGTGAAACCAACTTTGTCATTGATAGGGGCAATAAAAAATAAACTGAAACACTTGACTGATGCTCTTAAAGTATACATATAAAGGCTAGGGACATGTCATTATATTTCTGACTAACTCTATTCCTCCTAAGTTCATTAAAAATGTGGAAAATACAGATTTTTTCCGAGTTAATTATGATATTGCATTGATTTTCATCACAATTTTGGGGAAAACATTATTTTCTGTATGCACAGTCTCTTGGTTTGCTCTGCTCTATAAAAAGTAGAACTGTTTGGGGGCGCCTGGGTGGCTCAGTGGGTTAAAGCCTCCACCTTCAGCTCAGGTCATGATCCCAGGGTCTTGAGATGGAACCCCGCATCTGGCTCTCTGCTTGGTGTGGAACCTGCTTCTTCCTTCTCTCTGCCTGCCTCTCTGCCTGCTTGTGATATCTGTCTGTCAAATAAATAAATAAAATCTTAAAAAAAAAAGTAGAACTGTTTGTTCTTTTATTTACACATGATTCTAATCAAGACTCCAAAGTTACGATTACACATAAATAAATATATAGGGAGCCTGGGTGCCTGAGTCAGTTAAGGATCTGACTCTTGATTTCAGCTTGGGCCATGATCTCAGGGTCATGAGACTGAACCCCATGTGGGGCTCTGTGCTCAGTGTGGAGCCTCTTTGTCTCTGTACCTCCTCCTCTGCCCCTCCACCCCACAGGTGCATGTTCACATGCATTCTCACTCTTTCTCTCTCTAAAATAAAAAAATAAATATACAAACACTTCATTAGTGGTTATTTCCCTGGTAGAGGGATTAAAAGTTATTTTGATTTTATTACTTACACTTGTCTGTATCTCAAATTTCCCAGTATAAAAAAATAAAACACAAATATTTTATTGAAAATCAAGCCTGTTCAAATTTGCTGAATCCATGATTTGGTACAAAAGTTATTTAATATCCTCACTAACTTTTTAAAAGACACTCAGTTTTAGGTTGTCTATGTTCTCATTTCTCAATGTTTCAAAAAAAAATTCTTGTTCCTTTAGATGAAGCAACAAGCCCACTTATCTTAAAACCACTTATCTTCTGGCCATTAGTCATCTAAGTTACTCACTTTGTAAACTAAAGGAATGATGCATTGATCTTTTCTTGTTTGTTTGTTTGAGTTTAGTACTCCCAAATTCTTGAAGAGAAAGAATATCTTAAACAATTTATTTATGGTACTTCCTAGGCCTTATTGATTTGTAAATAGTAGACAATTGATACCTGTTCCATGTATTCCCTTTATCCTCAATAATGTGCTCATAAAAGGGAAAGACTGAACATTTATTGACCACGCAAAGCAAAATTTGCATCTAATGTCATCATCATACTATAGTGGGTATGACTATATTTTACAGCTGAAGAAATTGAGTGTTAAACAGTTAATTAACCTATCCCAATGGTAAGTTCTTAAGTAACTTCAGAAATTAGCCTTCCACCAAGCATAATGTCAAAGTCAATTCACATTGAAAGGAACATAGTTTCAACGGAGTAAAGCAAAATCATTTCGTAGTACACTGGAGACACTTTTATCTTTATTTTAACAACTCCTGTATTAATACATAACCATACATGTTCATAGTAAAAATCATCAATAATATACACAATTTGTCATATTTTTACATTTCTTCTAGTAAAGATAGTTCTAGAATAATTGTTTCAAAGTCATAAACCTGAGAATTATTTTTATTATCTCTCAAGATTAAATGTAAAGAAGTTTCAAATTGATAAAGTGAGAAAAGAGTAAAATTAGCTTGATTCTTTTAATAAAAAATTATCCATAAAGTTTTGGAAATTATGGATAAATGTATTAAGTATATAATTTTGCCATTGGCAAAACAAAAATGACTGACACAAAGTGTTCACATTAAAATAAATGAGTTATCACTTACTGTTGGTTCTCAAAGTAGGAATTTGCTTTATCTGTAGAAAGAAGGAAAGTGGAGAAGAGGTTAGAGCACAATATACGTTACATCTATTCTGTTTTAGCAATTTCTGTTTGTGCAAGTAAATCTAAGTCAGTAAATTTCTGAAACAGAATTTTTCACACCAGTATATTCAAATTTCATTGCTAGTTGTCTGACATGGCTTTTGATATTACCTGGCTTCCATACAGCATTTTTAAAAAGTTTTTAACAAGACAAACTTTATTGAGATCTAATTTACATACCATACAATTCAGTCATTTAAAGTGCATGATTCAATAGTTTTTGCATATTACATTGTATAAACTGCCTTTTTAATGAAACTAGATTATCTGTTTATTCAATCAATGTATTAAAATACAAGCAAAAGAACAAGCAATAATTTTAGAACATACTATGAAAAGAATTTGAAATTGTGATGTCAAAGTGGCAACAGATTTCATCAATTATATTCAGTTTTATTCTTCACATTTGTTTTTACATTTAACTTGGTCTCAACTACTGTTTACTTCTTTTCACAGCATTGGCAGGTTCTTTTTTATCCTTTAGAAAAGCATTTCCATAGACTGGTACACATACCACTTTAAAAAAAATCTTTTTAGGGGAGCCTGGGTGGCTCAGTGGGTTAAAGCCTCTGCCTTCGGCTCAGGTCATGGTCTCAGGGTCCTGGGATTGAGCCTCACATCGGGCTCTCTGCTCAGCCGGGAGCCTGCTTCCCTCTCTCTCTCTGCCTGCCTCTCTGCCTACTTGTGATCTCTCTCTCTGTCAAATAAATAAAATCTTAAAAAAAAAAGTCTTTTTATTTAAATTCAATTTAATTAAATATACGGTATTATTAGTTTCAGAGGTTGAATTTAGTGATTCATTAGTTGCATATAACACTCAGTCCATCATGTGCCCTCCTTAATGCCCATCACCCAGTCACCCCATTCCCCACCCACCTCTCTTTCAGCAACCCTCGATTTGTTTCCTGGAGTTAAGAGTTTCTTACGGTTTGTCTCCCTCTCTGTTTTTATTTATTTTATTTTTCCTCCCCTTCCCTTATGTTCATCTGTTTTTTTTTTTTCTTTCTTAAATTCCAAGTAGGAATGAAATCATATGATATTTGTTTTTCTCTGACTGGCTTATTTTGCTTAGTGTAATACCCTCTGGTCCCACCCATGTCATTGCAAATGGCACAATATCATTCTTTTTGATGGCTGAGTAATACTCCTATATATATCTGTAATTTTCCATAATATGGAGTAATAGTCCATATATATGTGTGTGTGTGTGTATATATATATATATATATATATATATATAGTCCACATATATGTATATATATATACATATGGACATATACAATGGATAAAGAAGATGTGCATATATATATATATGCACATCTTCTTTATCCATTCATCTGTCCATGGACATCTGGGCTCTTTCCATATTTTGGCAGTTGAGGACATTGCTGGTATATATATTGAGGCACACATGCCCCTTCAGATCACTGTGTAACCTTTGGATAAATACCTAGTAGTGCAATTGCTGGGTCATAGGGTAGTTCTATTTTTAACTTTTTGAGGAACCTCCATATTGTTTTCCAGAGTGGCTGCACCAGTTTGCATTCCTACCAACAGTGTGAAAGTGTTCCCCTTTCTCTCATTTTCACCAGTATCTGCTGTTTCCTGAGTTGTTCATTCTAGCCATTCTGACCTGCGTGAGGTGGTATCTCTTTAACATGAGTTAATACAACATGATTGCCCTCCCTAACCAGCCCTCTTCTTTTACCAAGCACATGAAAATCTGGATTCTGCTTTTTTGGCTTAGTATTTTTATAATAACTACTGAAGACTGGTTAATCACTGTGAAGGTAACCAGGATGCTACCTTATAGCTGAAGGCTCAGCTTTCTTTTACATCCCAGTTACCTACTTTTTATGACTTACTGCTTAAGAGCATAGTCTTTGGAAACCATCAGTTTTGGAAAATCCTGAGCTTCAATTTTCTCTTCTGTAAAATGTGGATTATCATATCAAGAACTTTGCTTTGAAAAAGTGAATGGGATAATATACATAAGGCCCCTAATACAATGCCTGACAAATAATAACATATGTAAGTTATTAATATTTTTATTATAATCCTTTACAATGTGCAGTAATTTGCTATGTTCATAAGATCTTTCCATGAATGCATGGTGTTTGATTTTAAGTTGCTAATTTTAGAAGTGTTTATAAGACTTGTTTTATTTCTGGGTATCATTGGGAAAAAATCAGCATAATCTAATCAGAGATTCAAATGTTCAAGGCCCACTTCTACTGGAAATCTTCTGGCTAACTTTAAGAAAATGGATCTAACATCTGGGCTGTTGTATCCTTATCAGCTCATTCACAGACATATAGATTAGCCTGATAATTTTGTATGGCTCAATCATTCAATGGGATTGAGTTAGATGACCCACAATTCCATAATTCAGTAGGTCAGGATCCCACATATTCCTCCCTACCACTCTCCTTTCCCCCACCCTCCTTACCCAACTCATAATCATCTTTATTGCATCAGTGAAAACAATGACAAAACCCACATTCATACATAGTTGAAAAGTTTGCAGCCATTTTTTTCCTTGCTACTTACTAATGGAAAAGTACTGTGCACTTTTTTGCAGGTGTTTTAAGACTGAGATGACATAGTTCTAAGGTGTCTGTAGGAAGATCATGGTGTTCAGTTTGATAATCCTAGAACAAGGAAAAAATGATATTTAAAATAAAGATGGGAAGAATAAATAGGTAGTATCAATAACCTTTGTCACAAACTTAAAACACTGTGTTTTTAGTATTACCCCAACATTTTCCTGTATTTATTTGAGCTCACCCATTAAGACC